CCCTGCACCCATGTGGCCACCCTCCCAGCCCTCCCACAGCACAGACAGATCCAGCCGGCACCCCCCCTCCCCATGGCTCCCTGTGTGAGACCCTGAAACCCACCAGAGGCCGGCCTCAGTCACCTGAACCTCCGACCGGGTTTAAAGACCACCTGTCCCTGACAAAGATGTCCCAGGGGTCTTCCTGCTTCCCCCACACCCCGCGGGCTTTCAAGATACTCCTTTCACGCACACGCAGGGCTCTCCTTACGAGGAATTTGAAAGAATGTCGTTTTCTCATTTCCAATCTACACTCAGCTCCCCTCCCTCCTGGAGAGCCAGTGGAAGGAATTCTAAGGACAAAATAGGCAGGTTTAGGGAATAAAGAGGGTCCATGGGGGAGGAATGCGTATGTGAAGGACGACGAGGTAACTCTGGCCTGAACAGCTTGGAGATGCCAAAATGCTTACCTTACTTGTACAAAGGACAGAAAAAGGCCACAGGATAAGGGGAGGAGGAAGACATACATTCACAGAGGATAAAGAAAAGTCACAGGATAATGGAAAGAAGGAAACATTTTCACAGAGAATAGAGGAATGTTGCAAGATAAGGGGAGAGAAAGAAGGGTCACCACTGGGCTTTGGTCTTTGAAACTGATACTATGCAACAAAATAACCAAGAGGAAAGCATGGGGGTCCTAAATTAATGAACGGTCCAATTAGAAGGGGTCAGGTTCAAATGAAGAACTGCACCATGCATAAACCGGAGGTAAAGGGGCAGGAGGCGAGATTTTTTTTATTTTTCCCATTAGACAGAGAGCAGGCTTTTCCCATTTGGGGGCCCCTCCTCAGGGGGTCTCCTTTGGAGACACCTCTGCCCAGATGGAGTCTTTTTTTTTTATTATTGATTTTTTACAGAGAGGAAGGGAGAGGGACAGAGAGTTAGAAACATCAATGAGAGAGAAACATCGATCAGCTGCCTCCTGCACACTCCCCACTGGGGATGTGCCCGCAACCAAGGTACATGCCCTTGACTGGAATCGAACCCGGGACCCTTGAGTCCGCAGGCTGACGCTCTATCCACCGAGCCAAACCGGTCAGGGTGAGATGGAGTTTATATATTAGTGGTTCTCAACCTTCCTAATGCCGCGACCCTTTAATACAGTTCCTCATGTTGTGGTGACCCCCAACCATAAAATTATTTTCGTTGCTACTTCATAACTGTAATTTTGCTACTGTTATGAATCAATGTAAATATCTGATATGCAGGATGTATTTTCATTGTTACAAATTGAACATAATTAAAGCATAGTGATTAATCACAAAAACAATATGTAATTATATATGTGTATTCCGATGGTCTTAGGCGACCCCTGTGAAAGGATCATTCGACCCCCAAAGGGGTCATGACCCACAGGTTGGCAACCCACAGGTTGAGAACTGCTGTTATATATGCTTCCAATAAGCTTCTACATTTTTTTTGCCATTTTTTTTATAATTTTTTTAATTAAATCTTTATTGTTCAGATTATTACATTGGTTCCTCTTTTTTCCCACCATAACTCCCCTCCACCAAGTTCCCACCCCACCCTCCGCCCTCACTCCCCACCTACTGTCCTCATCATAGGTGCACGATTATTGTCCAATCTCTTCCCCCA